GCGTCCGTGGACAGGGTCACGAGCGCTACTTCGTGCTGGTGGTTGACGACTACTCGCGTTACACCACAGTCTTCCCCTTGCGCAGCAAGGGTGATGTCACTGAGGTGTTGATCGACTGGATCCGCGCAGCTCGTCTCCAGCTCAGGCAGAGCTTCGGCTCGGACTTTCCTGTTCTGCGTCTGCACTCTGACAGAGGTGGAGAGTTCTCCTCTGGCCTTCTGCGAGCCTACTGTCGTGCACGAGGCATCCGCCAGACCTTCACGCTTCCGGACCCTCCACAGCAAAATGGGATTGCTGAGCGCCGCATTGGCATGGTCATGGACGTCGCCCGTACGTCCATGATGCATGCGGCTGCCCCCCATTTTCTGTGGCCGTTTGCGGTTCGGTACGCGGCGCATCAGATCAACCTTCACCCCAGGGTCTCCATGCCGGAGACCTCCCCAGCTTTGCTGTGGACGGGGAGGGTTGGCGATGCGTCTGCGTTCCGTGTCTGGGGATCTCGGGCGTTTGTCCGCGACTTGTCTGCGGACAAGCTGTCCCCTCGTGCTGCTCCTTGCGTCTTCCTTGGCTTCCCCCCTGACGCGCCAGGGTGGCAGTTCTACCACCCCACCTCTCGCCGTGTTCTGTCCTCCCAGGACGTCACGTTTGACGAGTCGGTCCCCTACTACCGCCTCTTCCCCTACCGCACTCCGTCCCTCCCCCCGCCACCGCTCTTCCTTGTGCCAGGTCCCCCCCCGGTAGACCCCCTCCCGCCTCAGGGTCCTGCCCCTTCAGGTGTGTCCCAGGTAGACGCAGTCGAGCCTGTCGAGGTTACTGGTGACTCTGGTGCTGCTGAGGGTGCTGAGCCTGGGGTGCTGACTCTGGGGGTGCTGAGCGTGTGGGTGCTACGCCTGGGGGTGCTGAGCCTGAGGGTGCTACTACTGGGGGTCCTGAGCCTGGGGGTGCTGAGCCTGGGGGTGCTACTACTGGGGGTGCTGAGCCTGGGGGTGCTGAGCCTGGGGGTGCTACGCCTGGAGGTGCTGAGCCTGGGGGTGCGGAGCCTGAGGGAGCTGGGCCTACTCGTGTGGCGTCTGGCGGTGCTGAGTCTGGAGGTTCTCCGGGTGCTTCGTCTCGGCGGGAGCCACTCTCTCCACAGGAGCTGCGCGAGTGGTTTGCCCGGCGCTGGAGGCGTGCTGCTGGAGCTGGAGGTTCTTCGGCTACTGAGGGTGCTGGTGCCGCGGGTCCCGGAGGTGCTCGTACTGGGAGTACTGGAGCTGCTGGGCCTGCGGGTACGACTGGAGCTGGAGCTGCTGAGGGTGTTGGCGCTGAGGCTACTGCTGTCGGTCCTGGAGGCGGTCCTACTGGGGGTGCTACTGGTGCTGCTGGAGGTACTGGAGCTGGAGGTGCTGCTGGCGCTGGTGCTGCCGCTGGGGGTACTGGTGCTGTCCCTGCTGTGTCTGGAGTCGCCACGCGGCCTCGGCCGTACTTCGTTCCGCTCCTTCAGCAGGTTCTTGGTCTCCCACCTTCTACTGGTCCTCCTCCTCCCTTAGAGTGTCCACAGCCTGTCCCGTCACAGTTACAGTTACAGCCGGCCTCCCCACTGCCCGCTCCTTCTCCCTACACTGGTCCTACTGGAGGTCTTACTGAGCGTCGTGAGCCTGCGTCTCGCCCTGCGTCGCCTGTCCGTGCTGCTCGCGCTAGTGGTCGTGGTTCGCGTCAGCGTCCTCCTCCTGTCCCTGGCACGCACTGGATGTCTCTGCGTCCGTCCACTGCTCCTCTGCGTGCCCCTTTGCCTTCTCCTCCTGAGTCCTCTCTTCCTGCTCTTCCTGACCCGGAGTCGGACTCCCTTTGTGCTGCCAGTCCGACTGTCACGCGTCTCCTTGCTACTGTCGTCACTGACCCTTCCTTTGAGTCCACTGCTGCGTCTGCCCTAGTTGCTGAGCTCGTCGACTTTGCTGCTCGCTGTCGTCTAGACTACGCTGCTCGTCTTGTTGCTGAGTCTGAGTCTGTCTGTCCTCCGTCCGTCGGGGGTGAGTGTGCCCTTGGCACGGACGTCCTTGAGGACAGGCAGGAGGAGTTCCAGTGTCTGGCTGCTGCTTCACCTCATCTCGTGTCCGTACTGCTTACCCCTGAGGGAGACCCGGATGCACTTGACATCCCGACTCCGCGCTCTTACGCGGAGGCGATAGAGGGTCCTTACTCCTCTCAGTGGCAGGCAGCTATGGACGCAGAGATGGCTTCCTGGAAGTCCACAGGCACCTACGTTGACGAGGTTCCCCCGCCTGGGGCGAACATCGTCAGTGGCATGTGGATTTTCAGGGTGAAGCGGCCGCCGGGTTCTCCGCCTGTCTTCAAGGCGCGTTACGTGGCTCGTGGCTTCAGTCAGCGGCAGGGAGTTGACTACTTTCAGACCTTCTCTCCCACCCCGAAGATGACCACTCTTCGGGTACTGCTGCACATAGCTGCTCACCGCGACTACGAGCTGCACTCTCTTGACTTCAGCACTGCTTTCTTGCAGGGCAGCCTGCACGAGGAGATCTGGCTGCGTCGCCCACCTGCCTTCACTGGGTCCTTTCCTCCTGGCACCCAGTGGAGCCTCCGGCGGCCAGTCTACGGTCTCCGCCAGGCACCGCGTGAGTGGCACGACACACTGAGGACTACACTTGCGGCTCTTGGGTTTGCTCCCTCTACTGCAGACCCGTCGCTGTTTCTGCGCACCGACACTTCTTTGCCGCCGTTCTACATCCTCGTGTACGTCGAGGACTTGGTCTTCGCCACAGCTGACACTGCTGGACTCACCCACGTGAAGTCCGAGCTGCAGAAGAGACACACGTGCACAGACCTGGGTGAACTGCGCAGCTACCTTGGCTTGCAGATCACCCGGGACAGAGCACGCCGCACCATTACCCTGACTCAGTCACACATGGTGCAGCAGGTCCTTCAGCGCTTCGGCTTCACGTACTCCTCGCCTCAGGCCACTCCTCTGCCTACTCGCCACTCGCTCTCAGCTCTGCCTTCGGATGAGTCCGTAGAGTCGAGTGGCCCGTACCCAGAGCTTGTTGGCTGCCTCATGTACCTGATGACCTGCACACGACCTGACCTTGCATACCCTCTTAGCATTCTTGCACGCTATGTTGCTCCTGGGAGACACAGACCGGAGCACATGGCTGCAGCGAAGAGGGTGTTGCGCTACTTGTGCAGTACGTCGGGCATGGGGCTTGTGCTTGGAGGGCAGAGTCCAGTGGTCCTCACTGGGCACGCAGACGCTTCTTGGGCTGACGACCAGGCTACGCAGCGGTCGTCACAGGGTTACACCTTCAGCCTTGGTTCCGGCTCTGTTTCGTGGCGGGCTACCCGCTCGTCTTCTGTTCTCGGCTCCAGTTGTGAGGCTGAGATCTACGCCGGGGCCATGGCCGCACAGGAGCTTCGCTGGCTCACCTACCTGCTCACTGACCTCGGAGAGCCGCCTCGTTCTCCTCCAGTGCTGTACGTAGACAACAAGGCCATGCTGGCCTTGTGTCGAGAGCAGAGACTGGAGCACAGAACGAAGCACATTGCTCTCCGCTACTTCCTTGCTCGTGAGCTACAGCAGCGTGGTCAGCTACGGCTTGCGTACGTGGCCTCTGAGGCCAACACTGCTGATATCTTCACCAAGGCACTTCCGCCTTGTGATCATCAGCGCTTCTGTACTCAGCTGGGTCTTGTGCCTACCTTGCCTCACTTGCTCACCCCTTGACCTTGCTTGTACTGTTGCATATATATATACACCTGCTCTTGCTTGTCTAGCCTTATATATATATGCAATCCTGCATGTGAACTGGCCTTGTGGCCTTGAACTTGTGCTCGGAATGTGTGGTGACTTTGTGATCCACCCTGAGCTTGTTTTGCTTTGCTTGACTGGTCTTGTGACCCCTTGTTCTCCCCCACTTTGCCTATGGGGGTGTGTCAGATTTATATGACATAGCTACTGTAGGCTATAGTGGGGTAGCACATATGGGGTACAGTTTTCTAGGGTTTGCTTTTGTACCCAACTTTCCTTTAGTCATTCCATTCCTCGTTTCTTCTCAGGCTGGGCGCAGTGAAACGCCCTCATGCGAGCAAGGGCTGTGCGAGTAGCAAATTTTAGCAGCGAAACTTCGCGAAACTCGCAATAATTCAGCTGCTTGCCCTGTGATAGGCCGCGCTATTGCCAGTTCAGAAATGTTTTAGCTCCACCACTGTTCATCAGTGGTCGCCGCATTTCTCTCTTCACTTCATCGAATCAGTGCGAACGAAACCTCTCAGAGAATCGCGTTGCTGCACGGAAACTTGCTATTCAGAACGAAGCCTTCAGACCCATCAACAAGTGACCCACCTGATCGCGTTCCTATTAGTAGCGCCTCCTAGGGGGACTGCGCTGGGCGGAGGTCCCGAATTTCGTATATTAACCACCCGCCAGAGCAGCCATGGAAACACCATCTCTTCCGTCGCTTCTGTCGTGCTGTACGATAATAGCGCCAGCAGCTTACCTTGTATCGTACTATCATAGTACTAGCCTCGTGTCGTACCATCTCAACTCACGACCATCTTCGCCTAGCATTGAGCCGCTAGTCATTGCCCGTGCCGCCGTGTCGCGCGTGCCACAGCTGTCACCCAAAGCGCGCGCCACCGTCACCCAAAGCTGATCAGTTGTGGGTCCTCCTCCATGGCGGCCTCCTCTCCAGCCGCGCTGCTTCCGCTCCTCGTCCTTGCCGTCATCTGCGGTGAGCCATTCCATCCTTGTTTAAGTTTCGGCTCCCGCTTTTTCTCAAGTTGAGAAGCGAGTACGCTCTGCCCTTCCTCAACCCATTTTTGGGATGCTCGCAACCTTCTGCTCCCTCTCATCCATTTTGCGCCCCTCTGCTTCAGCGATCGTCACGGCTCACGTGGCGGCAGGCGATCGCGCGGATCGCCTGAATGCGCGCGCGTAAGTGCGCGGCGGCGGCGGCGCAAGCGAGGCTGTGACTGCCAGAAGCCTCAGAATCGAGAGCACGGGGGAAAGCATGAATGGGAGCACGCAAGTGGGGGTGGGCGTGGGGGTAGGCAGCCCAGGCGGCGCAGTGGACGCAGATCACGGTGTCGGGCCCAGGCGGGTGCAGGTGGGCACGCAGATCACGGTGTCGGGCGTCAGCCTAGATGTTAATTTCGACGCCCTCGGCTGCTTCAGCTTCCCCCAGGCGGCGCTCAAGGCGCTCAAGGCGGGGCGGGGCGTGCAGGTGTGGTGGCACGGGCTCGCGGACGGCAGCAAGAGTGGCAGCAAGGTCGGCAGCAAGGGTGGCGGGAGCTCGCGTGGGAAGGAGGCGGGCACGGATGGGGCGGGTGCGGCGTGCAAGCAGCTGCAGTTCTTTGCCAACCCCGCCTGCAAGGGCAAGGCGCTGGATGAGGTGCTGAAGCCGCAATACGCCGGCCTGCGCAAATTCTTCAACGTGCCCAGGTGAGTCATGGGTGGCGTGGGTCATGGGGGCAGGTGGGTCATGGGGGCTGGTGGGTGATTGGGACTGGTGGGTTATTGCCCTCTACCAATGCTACTATCTAGCTTCGGGTTGTGCCTCTTCTCTGAAAGTGTTCCTGATGCCTGATCTAAACGTGTTCTTACCGTCTTATCTGAATGTGCGTCTCACGTCCTTGCAGCACAAAGAAGGTCTCCCGATGGACTTCTGTTTCCTGCAAGCCTGGTGCGGGGCCCTTTTCCTCCTTCTCACCTTTCCTCCGTGCCTTCTTGTCACGTTGCCTCCTTGCCCTTGTCACCTTGCCTCCTGCCCTTGTCACCTTGCCTCCTGCCCTTGTCACCTTGCCTCCTGCCCTTGTCACCTTGCCTCCTGCCCTTGTCACCTTGCCTCCTGCCCTTGTCACCTTGCCTCCTGCCCTTGTCACCTTGCCTCCTGCCCTTGTCACCTGGCCTCCTGCCCTTGTCACCTTGCCTCCTACCCTTGTCACCTTGCCTCCTGCCCTTGTCACCTTGCCTCCTACCCTTGTCACCTTGCCTCCTGCCCTTGTCACCTTGCCTCCTACCCTTGTCACCTTGCCTCCTGCCCTTGTCACCTTGCCTCCTACCCTTGTCACCTTGCCTCCTGCCCTTGTCACCTTGCCTCCTTGCCTCCTTTTCCACCATGCCACCTTGTAATCTTGCCGCACACATCATCTCCTTTATGAAATCGAGCGTTTCGCGTCAAATCCGTCAACACATGACTATGGTTTCACCAGCCATGCCGCACGCATCTCTGTTGCCCCCCACATCTCTCTGCTGCCAGACGTCACCTGCCAGCACGCCACGTGTCCGTGCAACTCCACGTGCATGCCAACGAGTGACAGCAAGGGCGTCACATGTGCATGCAACTGAATTGCGTGCACACTTGACATTGTGACGCTTAATTGTCAAGTACGTGTTATTGTGCTTTTCTGATATCATTGTATCACTCCATTTGCCTGGGTCTCTATTTTTGGCAGACAAGTGCGATGCGGTGACGTGTGGGCCTGGCGGCAAATGCACGAGGGATGCGAGCGGATATCCATCCTGTAGTTGCAGCACTGGCTTTACGCCGTCCCCTGACAAGCTCTCTTGCATTGGTGAGTTGGAGGAGTGCATTTCGTTTTGCAAAAGTTGCTGAACTTTGTGAATCTTGATTTTCAAGACTTGAAAGTTATTGTTCTCCTGAATTACGACCACTTGCCTGGGTTTCGTTTTTGCAGACAACTGTGATGCGGTGACTTGTGCGCCTGAAGGCAAATGCACGAGGGATGCGAGCGGATATCCATCCTGTAGTTGCAGCACTGGCTTCAAGCCGGCTTCTGACAAGCTCTCTTGCATTGGTGAGTTGAAGGAGTGCACCATAGAGAGCGTGCCTTGCATTTCAGAAGCTGTCCTTGAAACTTGACTCGCCTCAATTTCCTCGCCATTGTTACTGAATTGCGTGCACACTTGACAGTGTCACACTTGACATTGTGACGATTGATTGTCAAGATCGGCGTATCGTGCTTTTCTGATATCATGGTATCGTTCCAACTGCTTGGTCTCTTTTTTCGGCAGACAACTGTGATGTGGTGAAGTGTGGGCCTGGTGGCAAGTGCACGAGGGATGCGAACGGAGATCCATCCTGTAGTTGCAGCACTGGCTTCAAGCCGTCTTCTGACAAGCTCTCTTGCATTGGTGAGTTGGAGGGGTTCAACACATACATAGGGCGTGCCTGCCTTGCATTTCAAAACCGGTCCTTGAAACTTAATTCAGCTCAAATTCCTCGGCATTTCAACTGAATTGCGTGCACACTTGACATTGTGACGTTTGATTGATTGTCAAGATCGGGGTATCGTGCATTTCTGATATCATGGTATCCTTCCATGTGCTTGGGTCTTTTTTTTCGGCAGACAACTGTGATGCGGTGAAGTGTGGGCCTGGTGGCAAGTGCACGAGGGATGCGAACGGAGATCCATCCTGTAGTTGCAGCGCTGGCTTCACGCCGTCTTCTGACAAGCTCTCATGCATTGGTGAGTTGGTGGGGAGCAACACATAGGTCGTTTCTTGCATTTTACACCCAGCCCTTGAAAATCGGCTCCCCTATTCTTAAATTACTTGCAAGAGTTACTGAATCGCGGGAAGATCGGATTTTGTGAACCATGATTTTCAAGATCCGGGTTTTGTCGTTTTTTTCTATGACAATATCTTTCCACTTGCCCGGTCTTTTTTCTGCAGACAATTGTGCTGTGGTAGATTGCGGGTCCAATGGCACGTGTGTGGGGAAGGACAGTGGGGAGCCAACCTGCATGTGCGACTTGGCCGTCGAGATGCCTCCGGACCAACTGCGTTGTGTTGACGAGTTGCAGTGGTCTCGCCTTGAGGGTGGAACCTTGTAGCAACTCCACAGTTATGAATGAATGTTCTACTTATATCTCTCTTCTCTCACACATCCCTGCTTTTTCTTTTCTGTTTTCCCCCCGTTCTTCCACCCATCCTTTCGTTCTCTCACATCAGACACGGCTTGCATCGAGTTGGGCTGCGAACCGGAAGGGGTTTGTGTGAACACCAACGGAGTTCGCTCGTGCAAATGGAGTAAGCATGGCTTCCACCTTTCACTAACCTGAACCCAGCCCATCCACCCTTGGTCCCAACTCGCTCAATAATTTGTTTGTTGCACTTCACACAACATTCCTCTGCAGCTGGGCCATTCCATGCTCAATTTGCCATCTCTCTGCCGTACCACGTGGCTACCTTGCTTGTTGTGTTGCTCAGACTCACCCTGTGGCACATGCCCCTCTGGAGCCACTTGCAAAACCGTCCAATCAACTCAGTATAACAATGGAGAAGTGCCATACTGCGATTGCCCTGCGGACTCTAGGATGACCTCAACAGGATGCATCAAGGGTAAGATTCAATACTTCCCTGTTTTCTTCTCTCCGTTGATAGGATGGTGCATTTCCTTAAATCTCTGGGTGTGGGGAGGTCAAATGAGGTGGAGTAGCAATGACAAATCATCAAGCTCAGAGCTTCTCAACCCAAAGCTGTGACCTCTTGCTACAAACGATAGTGGCTTTAACATGCAGCAATCAACTTGGACGCATGTCACATGTTTTCCTTCACCGTCCTTTCCCATACCACTTCATAGCATCCTGACCCCTTTTCCCGGTTCCCTCCCCTCCGTGCTCCACATTTCCCCTGGTGCGTGTGCCATCCATTCTCAGGTTCACCTGACCAAGTGGTGGCGATGAGTTTGACTCTCATTCGGGATGTGAAAGCCAAAGGCCCATGCCCTACACCTTCCGCTTGAATTATGGCTGCACTCAATTTCCGAAGGAGGTGACGGGAATCTTCAGTATTTGGTACTCAGTGAACAACATCAATGGGGTTCGAGGCTGCACTGCGGTCCAATTATTCAACATTGATAATTGCGGCTCTGCCACAAAAGTGGATATTCAAGGTGGCGAACCTCCTATATCAAATCATGGGGCAGCAATCTTGTAAGTTGTGTATCGCAAATGAATCAGCATTCTGCATTTTGTCATATGTTATATTTGCACTTTGTGTTTTATTATACCATCTCAACAGTGCATCACTATACTACCATACCATTCAGTCCACCCTATGCCCATGACCACCTATCTCATTTGTTGATTCGTCTTTTCCATGTCTTGATTCTCATCATCAATCAGGGATGTTGACTGGAATACCAAATGGCCTGCGCGGTCTATCTGGTGCTCTAACATTGAGCGGTACTGATACACTCAACGATACAAATCCGTGTCTGATAGTCCAATACCGTCATCGCCCGGATATAAGACATATATGTCTTATCTCATACACTAAAAACAATGCTTGGGTTATCTTGTATTTGGGGAGGTTTTGGGTGTCTTATACCGGTAAGTCTTATAAATGGAAACTTTTTTTAACTACGAAATATTTTCACGCATCTTGAAAAGAGTTTCTCATTAAGAGTGTGGATGTTGCGAAGGTGCCACTTCGGCAACCATTGTTCGGGACGCCACGTCATCCCGAATACTTGCAGAGGCAAATTTGGTAGTACGTGAGTCAGCACGTGGCAGAATTCGCGTGTCGCAAGGGTAAAAATGTACGCGGTATTTCAATTCTCACTATAATACATTGCAGTTTCGATTATAAGACACATATGTCCTATCTCGTACACACAAATAGGTGTCGTATAAAAAGGCTAGCCTGTTTATAAGAGACACCCGTATAATAGACAACCCCTGTCTACTATTCACCACTGTCTTATATCCGGGCGATGACGGTACAGTATCATGTAATACGACAATAAAAGTTGTTTCCCTCCTTGTTATAATCCCCTGGATAATATTGTCGAGGATGTGCTGTCATCTGTTTAAATTACTTAAAGCTCGTTTAGTGTTTTAGTATATTGTAAGCGCCCATTTTGTGGACCCCATGTCTGATAAAATAATGATTCTGTCCGTATGTTTTACCACCAAGTTGGGGGTACCGGTATGACCCCAAGCAGGCCCTCAGATATCAGCGTAAAACACGCTGATTAGGCTGATTTTGTAGCTGTGATTTTCGTTTTCCCTGAAAATTCAGCATATGCTTCAATTTTGCACTGAAATTTCAGTATAACCTACCTTGCCACACTGACCATTTTGCGTGTTGCTGTACGAGTAACACTGACGAATCAGTATAGTGAGGTGAGTCACACTGAAACGGACTTGACCGCGTGGGGGAAGGGGGGGGGGGGGGGGGGGGGGGGGGGTGGGGAGGGGGGGGATAGGGTACGCCTGTACAGTCTGTGTACCTTCGCGCGATTCACGAAACCCCACCCACACACTTGGAATTTTTTCCCATGCGCTGTACGGACAGCTGGTGCGCGCTGAACCATTTTGCCTCGCTAGAAACTATCACAACACAACAGCTTTGTTGTTTTTTTTACACTGATGGTTCAGTAAACTAAGGATTTTTACACTGACGATATCAGTATAAACAAAACCATGAACGCTGATTTGGACACCAGGTTGGCCGGGGCACGCTGATCCATCAGCATACCCTCAAACCAATCCGAGGGCCTGACCCCAAGGAAAAACCCATTCACGTTTTCCATTTCAGGAAGTTCCAGTACACTGTAGCAAAGGGAAATCAGTAAATCCATGTCAGTGTCAAAATAAGAGTTATAGCGTAGGAACCATGGCTAGGGTTTGGGTAGTGGCGTGAGTATCCAGGAAGAGAGATGGCCAACAAAAGAGGTTCAATAATGTGAAGGAGATAAACAAGATATAGGAAATTGTAGTGGTGCACCACCTAGACAGAATATAACAAGCAACACCAACTGTTCGCTACAGGCACTTACTAACAACATATACAAATATACTGTTTGACACTCCCCTGTAACTGCCTGCAGCTAACAGCAGGTAGAAGCACGAAGACCACAGAGCGAGGGCAGCGGAAGAAGGTGTGGAAACAGCAGTTAACCTCAGCCACGACAGATGCAGCAGCGGCGGGTGCATGCGACGGCAGGTGGGCGGGTGAGCAGGCGCTGTGGCTGCAACGAGCAGCAGGACAGCACGGCTGAGTGTCAGAATGAGAACGAAGGAATGAATTGACTAACAGCAGGATGGGTACAAGTAGGAAACCTAAAAGTGTTGTACCCTATATGAACTACCCCACTACAGCCT